AAACAGTACTGTTTCTCTCAGGTTCAAATCCAACATGGTACGACTTAGTCAACATAGCAAAAATGTTGCTAGTCCCATAGAAGTCCCATAAATTTGTTATGCACAGCAGAACAGCTATTTCACTTAGAAATGACCACACACTGAACAGGAGTTCAGTGTCCATTACCTGTAGTCACAAATGAATATTCATTACAAAAGAAACCCAGAAAGAGTCTGCAACATTCACACACCAAACAAGGCCTCCCTTGCTAAAGTTTAATTTAACTCTGTTCCACCTAGCTACAAAGAAAGTTACTTGATATGTTTAAGAAAGAGCTACTCTGGGCTTGTTCCTCACAATCAATACCTCATCCCATTACCTCTTTTCAGGTTTCTTTATTTCAGCTGTTATTAGGATGTGTAGGAGGCAGATTGCCTACCAGCCCTGCTACCCACATCTATGTCTCTGTGTCTCATTGTGTCTCTCCCACTTTCCTCCTTCTCAGAGTTTATCTCTCACTGGGCCGTTCTGATCACCATCTCCCCACAAAGACCTTATTTGAATTGAACCACCATGCCAGAGTATAACTTATAAAACACTGAAGTTTTATTTTGTATTGGGAAGACACTTGAGAAAATAAGTGAATTTTAGTATTAGTTGTTTCATACGTACATTTTTCCACGGAAAGGTGGAATTTTAAGCGCATTGCCCACTGTATTGAAACAGAATGGTTGCTGTTGTTAAGACAGATTGCTCGCTTGCTTTACCTGAGCTAGTAGAAGCTGGAGATTTGCTGCGTCGGGATGGGCCTGGGCTTTTGGTGGTGCTCCTACGTGAAGTCGATGCTATTTTGGTATAGGAAGTGGATTTCACCACCCGACATTCTAAAAGACAAAGAAACCGCATAAGTTAGAAATTAAGAAAGCCAGCAAGATTCTGTAACAGAAAGAGCACTGAAAAGTGCAAACATTTTGCCCACGCTTGTTTTCATTCACCTTGAGGAGTTTTATGAGAAAATATAAAATCTGTATAAATGGCTCCATTAAAATTCAAGTACAGTATGTACCATATCCCAGACAAAGAGAACTACTGCAGTAATCCAGACTTTTAGATACCATGGTTACTGCAGGTAATCAGAACAGCTTAATTTAACAGTGCTGAGAATACACATAAAATTTCTTTGCTTTTGAAGATTTCAGCATAAACAACATAGTGATTTTTTTTTGTAAACAATCCAAATGCAGTGTAAGCATTTTTGTCAATCTAGGCAGTCTCCTCTAGAAAAACCGGAACACTGTTTCTATGTATCAAAATGTTAAGAGGACGCAGGTGTCTACCACTCATGAAAGACTTGAAGAAAGTGAAGCAGGTTTGTTGCTTCTGCTTAATCCTCTAGTGAGCAATAGCACACATTGTATAGCACATGCAATTCATCACAGGTTGAAGGAAATGGCACTACTTGCTCATAGGAGAGATCAGTAAAATCAATGAAGAAGCGAAATTGCCCTCCCACTTGAGAACACTACAAGATGTTCAGGTTAGAGTTTATATACACCCACACATCTCTGTAGGCATCCTTGCATTACGCCTGCAAAATGGTTTTTGGCCCGAGGATGAAAGAACTTAGTGTGCACAGAGCTGATGTCTTGCACTCCTAAATGGATACTAGATTAATCACCAGATGTATTATACACTTGGGAAAAATAAAAGATTTCCACTTCTTAGCCAATATACAATTAAAAGTCTGCAGCAATGTTTATACTGTCTTCACCTGACAATGTCAGTACACTTCACTTGCTTAAAAATACATCAGTAAACATTTAGTTCTGTATCAGACCTGTTTCCCATTTTCTTCCCATGGTTAAGGTTCCTCAACAGAGGTTAAGAGAAATAAACAAGAGTTTTTTCTTCCTAGTCAGAAAACACCGTGTACAAGTCTGCACATTATTTAGTCTTCACAGATCAGTGGAGCCTGTAACATAGTTTAGACAGATTAGAGAACAAAGGAATAAAATTGAGCATAACTAATTAACTTACACATATCCACCAGAGAATGATGTCATGAAATTTATTTCTCTTGGCTGCCCTAACTCTCCATCTTTCATCAAGCTGCTGAAGGAAATAGAAGCAAGAACTGATGCGTTACTGAGGGAACATCCAGCACAGCTGAGAGCTGAGAGGACAAGAGAAATGCCTTGGTCTCCCTAAAGAAGCTTTTCTTCCCAAACTTTGCACATTCCTAATGTAAAATAGTAGCTAATTTCTTTCTGTTTACATTTTATGTGATTCACTGATAACTACTCTTGTTTTACACTGAAATAGAAAAAAATGTTTACTCTATGAGGAAATCATCAATTGAAAACAGGAGGAATCAGATAAAAACTCTCAATTAGATGCCATTGGGTAAATATAGCAGTAATCTTACACTGATGTATTGACATAAACAGTTGCTCCAGAAACCATATACAACATGAATGTAAACAAGTTCTTTACCTTTCCTGTAAACAAAAATGTAAAATTTCCAAACACCTAAAAACACTTGTCTGATCTTGTAAAACTACAATGTAATCCCATTGTGGATTGTGGGCCTCATTCACAGGAAACAGTTAGGAAGGCAACTGCATATTCTAATCAACAAGACCAAAGCAGAATGATTCAACCAACCAAAATGCCTTAGAATATATCATTTGCTCAGTAGAAAAACTTAAACAGTCCATGAAGAAAGGAGCTAGTTTACTAACATATAAAAAGCTTTCCTATTTTCAGCACGTAAAGAAAAATACTTAATCTATATCCCTCTTTTGGAATTCATGCTATGTACTAAGCTTAGTCTCATCTTATTACTCATTCAAATTCTCTCAATACCTTATAAGCACTCAGAGTTAGAATGAGGTTAGAGAAGATTCTACATTTGAATGCATATTTTCTCTCATAATATTGGAAAGGACCAAATGGAAAGTGGTACAAAAGGAAAGGAGAGGCAACTAAATGCACATCAAGTTTATCTTTCCATCCTACTCATACAGTGCTTTTGAGGACAATACTCAAGACAGCCCTTACACCATTTTCACCCAGCCCACTCAGAAACAAAATGAAAAAAATTAAGAAAAAGTCATTCTTAATCTGAGACTTTGTCAAACATCATGTGGAAGAATCATGTGGATGACCTGAACTGAAGAGGCTAACAGCATCTTGTCACCATCTTCCTTATCTTCCAGAAAGAAGTGCTCACATACTATGGAGGGGAGTTAACAATTTTGGGAAAGAGGGAAGCTGGCATCTGGCTGCACCCATTAGGGCATTTGACTACCCCTCACTACTGACGGTCTCCTTAGAACAGTTAAAGTTCGGAGTGGTCTGCTGTGGTGGGTTGATGCTGGCTGGACACCAGGTGCCCACCAAAGCTGCTCTATCACTTCCCTCCACAACTGGACAGGGTTTTATGAGTTGACATGAGAACTGACAGAGATCACTCACTGAATACCATCACAAAACAGTCTGAACTTGGGGACATTAACTGAATTTATTACCAACAAAATCAGAGTGTAGGATAATGAAAAGTAAAATAAATCTTAAAAACACCTTCCCCCTGCGCTCCCTCCTTCTCAAGCTCTACCTCCTCCCCCTGCAGCAGTGCAGGGAGACAGGGAATGGGGGTTATGGTCAGCTCATCATAAATTATTCCTGCTGCTACTCAGGAAGAAGTCTTTCCCCTGCTCTAGTATGGGGTCTTTCCCACTAGAGACAGTCCTTCATGAACTTCTCAGATGTGAAGATGTGTCTATTCCACAGACAACAGTTCTTCACAAATTGCTCCAATGTGGGTTACATTTCCACGAGGTGCAGTCCTTCAAGAACAGACTGCTCCAGTGTGGGTTCCCAACAGGGTCACAAGTTCTACCAGGAAACCTGCTTTGGAGTGAGCTTCTCCCTCCATGGTCCACAGGTCCCTGTCAGGAACCTGCTCCAGCACAGGTTTTCTATGGGTTCGGAGCCTCCTTTTTGGGCATCCAGCTGCTCTAGCGTGGGTCTCCTCCACAGGCTCCAGGTGGATCTCCATACTTCGACTGACCTCCCTGGGCAGCATGGAAACAGCTTGCTTCCCTGTGATCTTCACCACAGGCTGCAGGGGAATCTCAGTTCCAGTGCCTGAAGCACGTCCTCCCATTCCTTCTCCACTGACCTTGGTGCCTGCATAGTTGTTCCTCTCACAAATTTTCTATTGTCTCTTCCCTGGCTACACCTATATCTGCCCAATAACTTTTTTTTTCTTTCTTAAATATGTTATCACAGAGGCATTATCATAATTCCTGATTGGCTCAGCCTTGGCCAGCAGTGGGTCCATCCTGGAGCTGGTTGTCATTGGCTCTGTCAGACAAGAAGGACGCTTCTAGTGGCTTCTCACAGAACTCACCACTGTTACTTCCGCCCCGCTACCAAAACCTGGCCATGGAAACCCAATTCAACTACAAATCATCCCGATGGGCTACACATAGATGATGACCCATTATTTGAATAACCCCACACTAATGGCATATTGCCCTTTGAGGAAGCCACCTCTTGCAGCCAGCTGAACTTTAAATCTCTACCCACAGGAGCAGAAACACAGATGATCATATGACAATTTGAGAAATGAACAAGCATCACAGGATCGTAGTATAATCCAGTTTGGACATGAGAAATTCCCTATTCCAGTTTCCAGCTCAAAGCTTGAAGTAGCCTCCCATTCATAGTCCTGGCCCACTTGGGGTCACTTCAACTGGAGGAATGCGGCAGGGCATAAACAGTGCAGGAGGATCTTGGAGAGCATCAGCGACAACTTCTGTTACAAGCGATAGAAAAAACAGTGAGAAGAGATGCTCTGGTCACACTCAAAAAAAGAAAGACTATCCTGGAATGTGAAGGCCAAAGGCAGCCTTGGTTGCACTGACCATAAGATAGTGGTATTCAGGATTGCGAAGGGACTGAAGAAGGGCAAAAAGCAAAACCACAATTCTGGACTTCAGGCGAGCAGACTTGGGACTCTTCAGGTCCCAAGAATCCTACTGGATAAGGCCCTGGAGGGAAGAGTGACTTGAGAAAGCTGATTAATATTCAAAAATCAGCTCATCCAAATTCCAGCACAAACCATTTCAACAAGAAGGAAGCTGTTAAAAAATGTCAGGAGATCTGCATGGATGAATAAGTTGCTCCTGACAAAATTCAAACATAAAAAGGAAGCATAAAAAAGGTGGAAGCAGGGACAGGTAACCTGGGAAGTGTATAGAGTAAGTCCAAGAATGCAGAGAAACAGTTAGGAAAGCCAAAGCTTAACCAGAATTAAATTTGATGAGAAATGTCAAGGGCAATTAGAAGGGCTTCTTTACATACAGAGGGAACAAAAGGAAGACTACAGAAAATGCATACCCATTGCTGAGTGAAACAGGGCCTTGGTGACACAGAACTTGGAAAAGGCTAAAGTATTGAATAGCTTCTTTCTCTCAATCTTTACTAGTAAGCCTGGTCTTCTGGAATTCCAGGTACCAGAAACAGAGTGAAAGCCCCAAGAAAGGAAAACCCACCCTGAGTGGAGGAGGATCAGATTAGAGAATACTTAAGCAAAAGAGACACGTAGGTCCAAGGGACCTGGTGGGATGAACTCTGCAGGTGCTGATGGAGTTGGCTTACGTCCTTTTGAAGTCACTCAATAATATTTGAATGATAATGATGATTAGTATAGTCATTTGAAGAACCAGTAAGTCTCACTCCTATCTTCAAAAGGGTCATAAAGGAGTACCCAGGGAACTACAGGCAGATCAGCCGCACATCAGTCCCTAGGAAAGTGACTGTGAAAGTGAATTTCAAGGCACATTAAGGAAAAGAAAATCATCAGAAGTAATCCGCA